CCCTTAGCATCGTGCTTAAGAGATTTTTCCCCCTACTAAGAACTATGTAATTTTTAGATAAGTCCGACTCTAGACTGCAGTATTCATCTAATGCTATAAGTTGCCCACCTCTTCCTCTGAGGCATAGATTATAAGAGTTAAAATCATAACGTATCATGATTTTATTTTAACTGAATTAATTCATCTTAAAACTTGAAGTGAGACGTTTCCTTTTATTCATGAACTTTTAGTAAAGAAAGAAATAACCCCACTGAGATAATCTTGCAAATTATTGCCATTCAGTAACTTACTTTCTTCCTGAAGTCCTCGGGGCAATTGTTAAAACCTTAGTGTTTTGACTGTTAAAACTTGTTTGTATATTTTAGTTGATTAGTTAGACCATTTTTAAAATTTTGTGTTATTTGTCTTGGCTAACATTTCGAATTTTTTTCTGAATTCATGGATAGTAGCATGGTAATTATGATTTTTAAAAAACTCAGTTGAGCAGTATTTGGACCCTGAAGGTTCCTGGGAGCTTATCTTTATTGAGTCAGGTGTGTTTTTAAATTTCCCTTGTTTTCTCGTTTTGCTCTGTCTGTGGATGGTGAATGCTTTGTAAGTCTTAAAGGATCCTGAGGAGACAGGATCCTCAGGTGTTCTGTCCAACCTTTACTGTACATTGTATGTACGTTGTCTTCATTGCGAGACTGTGTTGCCTTACCCAGAATGAGAGACTTTCTGTGTTTTGTTTTGTTTTGTTTTTCCTGTTGCATTATCAAATTAGATTTGTTTCCATTAATTCATCAGAAAACCTGAGTATTTCGGGTTCTGCAACACAGTGATGTTAGGACTGAGTTTTGTACACTTCTGGCTTGCAGCTACCTGATCAGACAGTCCTGGGTTCAGCAGGCTCGTGTTGGTTGCTTACTGTGTGCACACCCCTCGCTGGGAGCTCTGTGGCTTACAGACTCGGCCCAGGCGGTGCGGTTCCGTCTGGGCACTTTCTGTAATTATGCTGTGTAGCTTCTGGCTCCAACTAATGAAACAAGTTCAGATCATAAATGAAAGGCACAGAAATCTGTGGATGCCTTGGAAAGATAATATAAAAATTTTTTCTCTTTTCTGTCTTTAAATTTGCTTCAAAATTAGAACTGCATCCATTTGCTTGAACAACGTAACTCTTATGGATCTGGCTATTTTCATGAACCGTTTTGGTCCTTTCCCAAGCTTCATGTTTATTGTAAACATGTACATGTGTAATTATGGCAAACATGTAAACATGTTACCTGTTTGCTGCAAACATTTTGCTTGCATAAGTCCTTTATTTTTAAAAGGAAATTAATATTAATGAAATGTACCAGACAAATGGCTCGCTGATGTAGGCTGAAGCCTAGTTCCAAGCAGAAAGTGGATGGTGGCATCACAGACTTTATCTCCTGGTCAGTGCAGTGTAGGCATCCCAGAATGACCACACATACTCCAGGCTTGGACCTCTACCTCCAGAAATGCCAAGACGACTTGGAAGAGGTGACAGGTTGGCAGGCTAGCTGCTTCACTGGGGGCTTCGTCTGGCTCTTGAGATTGCAGTTTTGATGATGTGATATTTGACTATCAAAAAATAGGCTGAAATCAATAATTACTCAAAAAGTGAGCAAGCATCTGATGAATCTCCTGTAAACAGACATGGAGCTACATCAGGAAAATGTATGTATCCAGCCCACATTTTCAGTGTCATTGTCACTCTTTCACTTTGCTACATGTAGCCTGACTCTTTTGAACATTTCAGAATGATTGATACTGTAGGTTTTGAACAGCTTGAGCTTGTTTGAATTCAGAGTTTCTGTAGACGCTGCTGAGTCCATGACGAGAATCGTAGACCAGCTGGCACAGTTGTTTCACTTCCCGGACCCTCAGGACGCTGAGGTGAAGTGAGGACTTAGGAAGGCGTTTCATGCCATGGGGTCTTCGGCTCCTTCTGCATTGTTTTGATGAACGAGTCCTTTTGGCACAGTAGTAGATTCCCACTCTTCCTTGTGTCTTATTAATGACAAGTCACCTTAGGATGTTTCCTGTATGATAGGCATAAAATGTTAAGGATAATTGCTGGCCTTTTCCAAGAAAGGGCCACATTAACTGTATGAGGAAACAATCATAATTGTTCTTTTAACATTTGTTTTGTCTTCTGTTCCATAACTGTTTTGATTGTATAGTATTTTTTATATACCACTTAATTTGTTATGTACGTAATATTTATGTGACTCTAAGAATCTGTCACAATGAAGAAGGGTAGGAATTACCATTGGAGGGCGTGCTGGGAGATACAAATATTTAAACCCCAAATGTTTTATTCTCGTCTCCACTAATCATTTTTTTTTGCAGAAGAAGCTAAAAACTTGTAATTACTGTGTTTACTTATTTATATTTTTAAATTAAGCTTTTCAACTTATTTATTTAATTTTTTAGGACATTTGCTTTTAATATTGTTTTCTCTTGTGGAAACTGTATGAATATTTAAAAAATAAAGTCCCTAAGATAACAGATGTTTTTAAACATTCACAAATTAACAGTAATTCTTTGAATTTTTATTAGGTTTTTTGGCTCCAGACAACTCTTTACTGATATTTCTAAATTTCCAGGTGACTTGTTAATAAAAACAGGAAAAATAGTCAGGTAATGTCATCCAGTTTATTCTTTTTATTTTACCTCTCTCGTTTCTCGATTGACTTTATTTTATATGTATAGATGTAACCTAGGTTCTGCCTTGTCACCAGCAGAGTGTAGGTTTCTGTCACTTGGAAGTCACAACAGACAGGGAGTTAATACAGCCATTCTCCTCCTGTGAAAGGACTCCCACTTGGTTTTCAAACCTGTAAATGAGCTTCAGTTTTACGGCCTCTGAAATGACTAAATATTGCCCTTTGGAAAACCTGAATCTTTGCACACAGCATTTCCAGAGTCTACTACCTCAGTTAACCAGGCTTAGTTTTAGGTGGGAAGGAATTGAAACCAGACTGCAATTCAGTTCATCAGCTATGCAGGCTTGTTTGTTTAAGCACTTCCTTCTCTCGTCTCTCACTAACTTTTTTTAAGGCTGCGATTTTAATTGAAAATATCTGTTGTTCTCCCTTGGGCAGAGCCCGGTGGTCCACGCTGAGCTCTGTAAAGTGTCCGAGCTGGTCTCCCCTGTTGTTGTAACCAGCTCCACCCCTTAGATGTGCTTCATTTCAAGGAGCAGTTTTAGACCCAGCACACCTCCTCCCGTTTTTTCATAGCTTCATTAATGCAGACTCATGGGACAGCATTAAAAACCTTGGGACCTAACTGTTGCCTGTGCCCTTTCTCCAAGGACATACATACTTTGTGAAAACACACAGAGGTGGACACGGGTCTGCTCACGTGGGTGCAGCAGCAGTGCAGTGGGGGTGGCCTCTGGTTCACACTGTGTAGACAGTGTCCAGCGAGACCACTGTGTGTTATGATGGTCTGTGTTTTGCTAAGATCTTTGTTTCAGTGTATGCCTCCCAGTATTTTGAACCTAAGTTGAAGAAAAAGATGTTTCTAAATTGTGTTTACTAACCATGCTTTTCTTTACGTTTTGTGTGGCTACATTGCTGGTCTCCTGAGCTTAGCTGTGTCTGTGCACAGGCTGTAATTTGGTAATAAATTTCTAGAGTGTTGCGTGTCAGTGTTTTCTTTGCGGTTCATGTTTGATCTACAGTCGCTGGTCCACTTAACTGCTGCCAGCTGGGAGTGTCAGACCCCTTCACTAGTGAGGGATGGCTCTTTCCAGAGTTTTAGTTCTTATAAAATCACATACTGTAACCCTGACCAAAAATGTGTTTGCTGTGCATTATGCTAATAATTTCAAGGCTGATGCAGGTAAGATAAGTGTGGGTTTTCTATGAATTCTACCTGGCTTAATAAATACCCCTGTCTCATTTGTGTAGCCCCATTGCAAAGTGGGTGTTCTGTAAGGGGAACTTTCCAGATGACTGTGCCTTATTTTAGGAACCCCCCAAAATGATTTTTTTAATTTATAGACTATGTTTTGAGCAGTTTTAGGTTTTCAGGAAAATTAAACCTATGTGTGAGGTGAGTTCTCATCTTCCTCCCCCTCCCCCCATTTCCCCTTTTATTAATATCTTGCTTTAGTGTGATGCACTTGTTTATACTGTAACTGAATCAGTATTGATACATTATTATTGCTGAAGTTCATGGTTTACATCGCAGTTCATTGGGTTTGGATAAAAGTATAATGTCCTGGATCCACCATTACAGCGTCACACAGAATAGCTCCACCGATCCAGCATCCCCACCGGCTCTGCCTCTTCATCTCTGCCCCTCCTCCTAACTGCTGGCGACCTTTCTACTGTCCCCACGGTTTGCCTTTTCCAGCATGTCAGTCAGTTGTAATCACACAGTATGTACCCTATTGAGACAGGCTTCTTTCACTTAGCGATATGCATTTAAGGTTCCTCCTTGTCTTCTTGTGGCTTGATAGTTCATTTCTTTTCTTTTTTTTTAATATTTTACTTATTCATCATTGTATTGCTTAATTATTTGGCAGGGGGGGATAATTAGGTTTATTTATTTTTAGAGGAGGTACTGGGGATTGAACCCAGGGCCTCGTGCCTGCTAATAAGCATGTGCTTTACCGCTTGCGCTGTACCCTCCCCCTATAGTTCATCTCCCTTTATCATGGAATAATGCCCCATCATACGGATGTACCGGTTTGTTTACCCATTCACCTATGGAAGGGCATGTTGGTTGCTTCCAGGTTTCAGCAATTATGAATAAAACTGCTGTAAACATTTCTGTGCAGGGTTTTGCGTGGACATAAGTGTTCAACTCATGTGAGTAAACACCTGAGAGTACAGTTGCTGGAATATATGGTGAGAGTATGTTTAACTGTAAGAAATGGCGGAACCGTCCTCCACAGCGGCTGTACCAGTTTGTGTCCCGACCAGCAGTGAACGAGCCCCTGTCGTTCCACCCTCTCGAGCATTTGGAGCATTTGGTGTCGTCTGGGCTCTGATTGTGCCATTCTCATGGGTGTGTTGTGGGTTCGCATTGTTGTTTTAATTTCTCAAAATGTTCTCTAATTGACGTGATGTTCAGCAGCTTTTCATATGTTCATCTGTTTTTTAATTGGTTCTTATTGAAACTTCGCTAAAAGATACCACACTTGTTCTCTGATTTTGTAAAACAGAATCTGAACGCAACCTTTTCTTTGTGACTGAGTTCTCCTTGTGATGTGCTGCCCTCAGCAGCAGTGCAGGGGCGCAGGGCTGTCACTAAGTGGTCTGTGAATTTCGGTGTTTGCCTTTATAGCATTTTTACTCTTCTGTTACCAGGCTGTCAACCTCTATTTCTCTTCCAGTTTCTAACCTCCAGTCTAACCTAGTGACGAGGAAACAGTCCGGGCTTGTTAGAATCGTGGGGAAACTAGGAGTTCAGCCTCTGGGGGAAGGAGTGATGGGAGATCAGTTCTGGGGACAGTGGTGTCTGTGTCATTTCTCTTGGCTATCTGTGGCCTTCCTAGCTTCATCTGGTTCCCAGAGAGTTCCAGGTAGACCAAGTGTGAAGTAGATGTCTCTGCATAATTACTTGTCGTGCAGTTGTATCATATTTGTAGCTGGAAGGCACCTGGCAACAATGGCATCCCATGGCTCCACCTTCATTTCTTGCTGTGACCAGTGAGGATTTGATCTCTTAAAGGGAATAAAGGAAAAGAATGAGGGGCAGAATTAATCAGGGACAAAAACAGAACGCATGTGCGGCTGGAGCCTTCCCTTCAGTCCTTTCTGCTCTCTATGCCGTGTGCTGCCTGTGCCGACTGGCTCCTGTGGCTGGGCGTACTTGGGTGCTGGGTGAACCTGGGTCCCGGGGCATTTGCCCACAGCGAGGGCTTCAGTTGGAAACTGCAAGGAAGCATTGGCCAGCAGGGGTCAGCTGCTGCCTTGCAGGGGGTTGAGCAGAAAGGCAGGGTGGGCACCAGTCTCACCTGGCTGATTCCATCAGCTCAGGCTCAGATTTGGGGGCTGATGCCGACGTGCCTTCCTGCCTGCCTGCTGGATGCCACCGCCAGCTGCACCTGGCCCGGCCGACTCGCGTTCACCTGGGCTTCCTCCCGCTCGTACAGCTGTCGCTCCGCCCCCACCCGCCAGCGCAGGTGGGAAAAGGAGTCAACGGAGAGAGCCTGTGTGTTCAGTGCCTCCTTCCTGTCCTCTGTGGGGTCGTAAAAGTCTTATGGCCAAGTCTTCCCTAATTTTCATTTTTCTAAGATCTTCTCAGGACCTTTCCTGTAAGTCTTCAGAGACTCAGCAGCCGCCTGAGTCAGTGAGACGTGAAACTGGGAACAAGTGACTTGGTCCCCTCGTCCTACAGGTGAAGGAACTGAACCCAGGCAGGGTTTAGGATAGGTGTTCAGGATCCCACTCTGAACTGGGAAACAGGACTTGCATCCGTTTCTCATCTTGAAGAATGCTGCACAGAAGGTGTAAGGAAAGCCAGTGAGACAGCAGAAAGTTTGCCGAGGGCCTCTCGGCCTCTGAAGCACGATGCCAGTACAGACGAGTCACCCAGGCTGGTCAGTAGGAATGAGAAACAGCAGGCGAACTGGCGTCGTAGGACTGGAGCTGACACTCACCGTGTTTGCTGTTTGCTAGATGCTTTACTTCTGTTGCTCTGTTAGATCCACTCATTAGTTCCAAGATACATTTACTATTACTCTCTTCACAGAAGAAGAAACTGAGGCCTACAGAGTGATGCGCTCTAGTCGTTTGGCTCCTGAGAAGCAAAGCGATGGAACCTAAGTCAGTTTAGTCCCAGAGCCTAGTCCTTTGCCATGTTCCGAGGTTACTTTCAACGGTGTTAAATGCAAAAGTACTGAATTCTTGAAGTAAATATGTCAACATTCACCCAGTTTTCTGAGGTGATTAATCGTGGTTTTACCTCTCCTTTCCTGTAATAATCCTTTTTTTCTTTTTTTGCCCGGAGACTTTCAGGCAGACTAAAGTGATACATTCTTTTATAGTATTTATGTTTATGATGATAGGAAAGCAATAGTGGCTCTTGTGTCTTGTGACATGAGTTTGGGGAGTCTGTTGCCCTTTGCTGTGTCTGAGTGTAAATATACACCTACTTGTTTTTCAGGGCAGGCTGTATGAAATGAGCCAATCATTCTGAGAGTTTCCATGAATTATATTTAGACCACCAACTTAAGTGACATAGAACTCAGTCAGTTCCTTTTACTAATAAGATTCCCAACAGTGTTCTGCCCATGAGGTGACAGCTCCACGGTTCTCAGCTGCACGTGTGGCCCCATCAGTTACCAAGAGGGCGGCCCCGTGTGCTTGCCCGTGGCTTCAGTGTCCGTATTGGAAGCACGACCCCAGAGCTGAGTTTAGCTCAGAATGCTCATGACACTTTCAATGAGCACATCTTAAATAACTTGTGTCAACAAATAACTAATCGTGGTATGACTACTGGATTCCGTAACAAATCCTACACTCTAGTGTCAGTCATTATTGTTGTAATTAGAGATGGATGAATCAAGCTTCATTTGGAATTTGTAAAATACCTGCAGCTATTTTTCAAACATTTTTAAATATATTTTATTACGTTTCTCGAACATACTTCACCAAGCATATTTTCTCTAATTTTTAAACCCTGTGTATTTTAAGGGGAATTTAATCCATAAGTTTCTTGATTCATTTATGCTTAACTCACCAAAGTTTTTTAAAGAACAATTTGGTTTTCAAGAAGCCTTAGGAAACCCTTCTCATGAATTCTGTCTGCCTTTAAAAGCCTTTTCCACAATCAAACTTTTTTCCTCAAAGATAAATGTGGCTGAAGTGTTTTAGTTTGGTTTACAATGCAGAGCCCAGATTTCACGTGTAAGCTAGGTCTGAATTTAGTGTAACGAGCTACGCTGCCTCTCCCGTAGGAACTCCCTTCCTTTGACTGTGAAGAGCTTGTTCACAACAGAGCTGTCTCGATAAGCGAGCGCGCTGACGGCCCTGCCGCCTGGAGCCGTAGCACGGGGGGCAGGTGGGGGCTGGTCAGACCCAGAAAACTGAATGAACTATTGGTGACCTGTCAGCGAGGCTGAAAATGTATACATATTTGTACATGTTCAAATATACATGGACACACTCATAAAGATGCTTAAATCCTTATAGGTCATCTTTTTTGTTTTGACCTCTGCGTATTCATGCTAACGGCAATACTGTGTTCTGGATTAAGTTAACAACTTACTGTGAAGTGACTATAACTGTCCTCGTCTCTCTCCAGAAATGTTTTTCACCTGAGGTTTAGTCCGGCCGGTTGCTGTTGCCCAGCAGTGGGTCTCGGAGACCAGCTCTTTGTGCAGTTTTAATTGAACAGGTTGGTTGTATGAAATCTTCTTAGGAAAAGGAAGGTCATTGCCATGAAGGTAACAGAATGTGCTGACAACTAATGGGACAGAATGTCACCCAGCACAGCGGCTCTGGAAGAGATGTGCAGGAACATGGCAACGTAAGAATGGAGTTTGCTCGAGGCAGGTAGACACCGCATCCCGAAGCAGTCGCGTCGGAAGGAGGGCACCGCCTTCCTGGGTTCTCATTAGGGAACCGTGTGAAATACATACTTGCTACTCACAAGAAGCAGCCTCTTTAGTTCGTATTCTTAATGAAAACTCTCATTTTTCCCCCTGAATCTTTTAGCATGGGATCATTAAACAATGAAAGCATCTCTTCTGTACTTTTCAGAGTATACCAGTTTCATATACATCTTGTTAGTTTGTACTCGAATTCTTTTAATATTTTAGAAGAAACTTTTATAATAGATAAATTCCTTTTAAAAATTAACACCTATATTTTCTTTATTCAAACCAAAATGGAAAACCTCTTTCATGAAAGACTTACCTTTTGCTTTATGCTTTTCCATATGATAATCATTTTACTTCACAAAGGAAATATGCTTGTAAAATTATGAAGGTCGTTTTTAAAAAGCATTATTTCTAGAAATCCAGGCGGTGCTTTCCCTCACTTCTGTCTCCCCAAAGCCCTTGGCCTGGAAGTGAGTCGTGGCTTTTGCTTGACCCCGTCGCGTTTGCCTCGTAGGGCCAGACGTGCTGGCCGTCGTCCCGCAGCCCGGGAGAGGGCCCTGGAAACTTCTGCAATGATGCCTCTCCATCAGGAAGATGTTTGTGAATTTGATACTATGTTTTACCCTGTATTACAACACATTCACTATATTGATAATTCACAGAGTATTTGTAATTTAGTATTTGTATGTAATGTATAAAAATATTCACAGTTATGAAATATGAAAACATGAGAAATAATTTTATTGGCATAAAATGCTCTCCAAAAATTACAAATAGTATTTGTATTGAGAGCCATGAGATTAGCTATGCTTCATTATTTTTTTAAACCTTGGGCTAGGCTAACTAGGTACAGTGATTTACTTAATTTTAGTGCTTAGTTTTAATGACTTTTGTAGATGAAAAAGTTTACTTCACAAAGGTGTGTAGATCCAAGTGGGAGAGAGAAATCGTTGGCCACAGTTACAAGTCCTGAGCTTCTGGTTTTAATCATGGCCCCCAATTATGCAGCAGCTTTCATTTAACTTTGGCTGTTAAATTTGCATCTTCCTTGATGTCAGTCGGCTCTTGCAAATTAATTGGGAGGTTGCATTCTGTATGAATAGTTTCAAAACCCACTGAACCTCTTCATTTGAAAGATTTTAAAATAAACAGGGAAAATTGTTTCAAGTTTAAATTGCACGTATTAGAGTTTTTAATAAGAGACTCCCTGCTTCTGCAACAAAATGACAGAACAATGAATATAAGGTCTCGAGGTCAGGGCCTGGGCGTCTTCCCTCTGCCTGCCTGCCTGCCTGCCTGCCTCTCCTGGGCTGGTAAATCCCAGTTCTCAGTCCGTCCCTCTGATGGCTTCCCTGATTCTGCTCGGTCTGCACATGACAGTCCTTAAATGACTCAGGACAAGTTTAATTCCTATCCTGAGTTTTCGTTTCTCCTCAGATTGAAATAATTCCGGACCTGTAGATGTGATCACGTCGCAGTCCATTTCTTCCTTTTTATTCATCAGTGTTCCCTGCGCCAGCGGCCACCGCAGTTCCTCCGACATGCATGGCAGACTTGCCCTGGGGAGGCGCCGGCGTGGGTTCTGGTCCTGGTGGGGGCGTCCGGGTGGCCGCAGGCCCGAGGCAGGATGCTGCCCGCTCGCCTCTCCTCATGGCGGAGTAGAGCTGTTCAGCTAGCATCAGTGGGGCTGTAGGAGGCCCAAGAGCAGGACAGAGGCCCTCGTTACTCACAGGGAAGTGTTAAGGGATGAGAGGCGACGACCGGGAGGAGGAGTCAAGGAAGGAGGAGGCTGAATTTTTAAAGGGAAGGGATCTCCGTGCGTCCTGTGATGGGGTGAGGAAGTTTAGCATGAAACATAAATGTTTGGTCTTATTTGGGCCGGGCGTACTCCAGTCACAGCCCCGTCCCTGCCCTTTGGCCGGAGATGTGTTACTGTGAATTGTGAGAACGTCAGCGCTCAAGTCAGAACCTGGGTTCGACCCCAGCCCTGCCACTGCCCAGCTGGGCGGTTTGGGGCAAGTTCCTCATCCTCCCTGTGCCTCTGTCACCTCGCCTTACATGGAGATGGTAATGACAGACCTTTCGTATAGGACTGCTGGGAAGATGGAATGAGGTTCTTGAATTACAAAGTGCTTACCAGCTTCTGGTCCTGTAATAAAAACCCTCAGTAAACGTTAGCTGCCATGGAGGGCTAGAGCAGGCTAGGAGCAGGCTTTTTCAGAGCCAGACGTTGAATATTGAAAAATGTTGCAAATTCTTCAACCTGTTGATAGCTTAAAACTGGCTCCGCTGAGAGTATTTGTGCCGTGGAAACGGCAAACACAAGAGTGGGGTTTCTGCCTCCACACGGCCCCCCTGTGGAGCCAGTTTACAGCACATCCCTGGTTACCTGTTTGTATTTCGCATGAGTTTTTGTTTGTTTGTTTTTCCTGCAACTAAAGCAGCTCTGGATGCCCAGGCTGGCTCTTTGTCAGCCCCTCTGGAATAAGTAGATGCAACGGTGAGTAACACTCCTGGCCCTTGCCGGTCATGAATGGGGTCAGGCCGATTTGCCGTGAGCCGTTCTGACTGGAGAGGGGAGTGGCTGCTTTGGATCTGCCACAATTAGGGACCACCCTCTTCTCTGAGCTAGACTTCGCTTCAGTACTTTTATTGTGATGTAGCAGAAATCTTCGGACACCAGAAACAGACCAAAGTGTTCCATTACCCTTTAATTCCCTGACAAACAGTCTGAGCTGTATCTAGGCAAGACCCACACTGCTCTCAGCCTTTCGCCAAAGGGGAGATTCTTCAGTCACCCAGAGGTTCTGGACCCCAGAATTGTCACAGCTTACCTAGTGGTCACGGCAGACACGTGTACACAGAAGTGTCTGCCAAGTGCTTGTGAGGCTCTTTGGCTGTGTTTCCAGCCAAGGCGGTGGGGGGGGGGGGGTGGCAGGAAGAAGAGAGGCACTGTTCCCTCTGCTCTGAGCACCTTTCCTGAACCAAAAGGGGGTGTTGCTGGTGGCGCCCAACCAGAACACTTGCCTCATTTAGCACACTAAGGGTCAAATTTCTCCCTCTTGACAACAGAAACAAAACAGCAAGCCGAATTTCTCAAAAAGAGACACTTTAAATATGGCATTTACAGGCTACGTGGTGTCTTCCCTTACTGCACATACATACACATGTCCTGGACAGGATCACACACAGAGGTCTTCGTGCGCCCTGCTTGAGGATCACAGGCGAGAGTTGCAGTTCGTTAGCCCCATTTGCTTTTCACCAAACGAAAAAGCATTACATGATGTCAGAGGGTCTCAGTTTCCACAAAGGGGAGTTTCCCAAGAT